TGGAAGCCTCCTAGTACTTTCCTGAGGAAGGTCCTATGGGTCTATTCACTTAGTTCCACTAGTTTGTCTAGGATTTCTCAAGTATCCAATGATGTTGGAGCCAACTTGTGAGTTTAATTTCTCCTGAGGAGGAATGTAAACTGATCACATGTTGTTGAGCCACATGGGATACAACTCCCAAGTGGAAGCCTCCTAGTACTTTCCTGAGGAAGGTCCTATGAGTCTATTCATTTAGTTCCACTAGTTCAGATAGGATTTCCTAAATATCCAGTGATGTTGGAGCCTGCTTGTGAGTTTAATCTCTCCTGAGGAGGGATGTAAACTGATCACAGTGGTTGAGCCACCTAGGGTATGACTCCTGAGTATTCACCTCTTAGTGCTTTCCTGAGGAAGACACTATGAGCTTGCTTGCTTAGCTCCCTTTCTTTGGTAAGCTTATTCTGAAGCTTGAAGACTGGGAATGATTTCTCCTGTTTAGGGTTCTGCTTGAGAGCTTTGCTTAGGTTTGTTTAGATCCTGTGATTAGGGTTAGGATTAGAGAGTAGAGGATTCTTTCTCAAGTGTGTTGTTTGCCTGTTGGCACTTCATTTCTTTTACCTGTTCATTGCTTGATAGCATGTTGTTTATTTTCAGTACGATTACTGTTATTTCATGACTGGCTTGAGGTTGAGATGAGCTTGTGGAGGCTGAAGCCCCACACACATTTCCTCCCTCACTTGCATTGCATGCATTTTACTGTTAAAGCTGATGTTTTTGTCTGTTTCTGTGTATCATTGACATGATCCCTTAGGACTCTCATTTCTTCTGATGAGGATTTGATGATAGACTTTTAGGTTGAAACCTATGCATGACAACATCTAGGAGTTCCCTGTTCAAACCTCAACCATAGGATGAATCCATGGCATGATAACAGTAGGACTTGATAGTCTCCCTCCTAGTTGAGCTTTTTCCTGTAGTTTCCCGAACTACGTGAGCTCTGATCTTTCATACCAGATGAAAGTACGTAGGCATAGGATGCGACTTCCTAGCGAGCAACCTTTCCCCCATAACCCGTAGTTAGCCGAACTACGTTGACTCTGATTTCTCATTCTCTGATGGGAATACGTAGGCATAAAGTGCGACGCTTTGCCGAGTCATTTTCTTTTCTTTTTCAGCCAGCCTTGATAGGTAGATAGATTATAACCAACCCGTCCAAGTAAACAAACAAGCGAGGATCCCGTCGAGTACGACGGACGTGAGGGGTGCTAATACCTTCCCCTTGCGTAACCGACTCCCGAACCCAGACAATGGTTGCGATGACCTTGTCTTACCCTTATTCGTCAGGTTTCTCCGATCGTTTCCTTTCCCGCTCTGAGGGATAAATAACGAAAGGTGGCGACTCTTCTGTCATGCCGGCACCTTATTTTCGCGCAAGCGACAGTCTTTACTCGCATCGACTCCACTCCCCTAACACTGTTCTTAGATTAATTCATTAAGTCCGTATTTACTTATTATATTACTCTGCTATCAAACAAACCACTAGACCTTTTGTTCATTTGAATCCTAAAAATTCCGTTAATTACTACGCAGTCCTCGAGATCGATACTTGGGACTTTTCCCTTATTACTACAATTGGTAAAAATAGTACACTTGCTATTTCCCGATCAGGTAGCTCGCCAAGGAATGGAGCCTTTGTGCCTACGTATCTTTATTCAGACGAGAATGAAGAATCAGAGCGTTCGTAGTTCGTAAAACTACGACTTATAAGATTGATTTCCTTTAGAGGTCATAATTGTTCAAAAACGAGAAAGGTAACTCGCACCTAAACAATCGAGAAGAGGAATTGAAGGCTTCAAATCCCTCATATTCACCTTTATTTGAAAAGAGTTTTGATAGTTATTATGTGTTTTGAAGTTTAATTGAGAACATTTACTTGATGTTGGATCAAGAGTTTGTTTGTAATGCGTTTGGATTGTGAAAAGAGGTTGATGACGAGGTAAAAGGCACTCGACTTAAAAGTTTGAAGAAAATGCCACTTGACGTTGGATCAAGGGTTTGTGAAAAGGTTTGGATCGGTCCTAATCCCTAAGGGTGCTCCTAGTAATGAAACCACAAAAAGGTTGGAGTGTGTGCATTAGGTTGATGGTGATGCTAACAAGCAATCGACTTACAAGGTTGTTTTAAAAAGTGGCTCAACATCGCATCGGGAATTAGTTTAAAAAGGGTTTAGTCTAGCCTAGTCTCAAAGGGTGCTCCTAATAAACCAAGCCACAATCATAGAAGAGCAAGTAAAGTGCATACATCGAAAAGGGAGCAGGGTACATGTAAAGCACACAGGATTGCGAGAAATAAATGGGGTCATTGTCAGGTAGTCCAAGAGGAAGTCGTGTGTATGCAAGGTGTCTTAAACTAAGCCATAAGCAAGAGTACATATCCATTTCTCCTTGCGAAGGATATTACTATAGTCCATATTTTGGTCTTTTCAATTTTATCATGTTTTTGTATTTTTGAACAAGATGAGAAACAAGGAAAGGGTTAGCATGACAAGATGATATGAATAATGATAATATGATATGAACAGTAATCAAGGATATAAGAATAATGATATATAGACAATGGTATAATGACAAAAAGATAAGAGTATAATGAGCGAAAATTAAAGTCAGTTGTTAGTCATTAATTGTTAATGATAAGATGATTACTTTTTGAATCGGGTCCACTGTAGTGTTAAGCAATCGTTAGCACGATCTATGAGAAAGATCATGCTATGGTAGACCGCTCAATAATGATGTGTGTGCTAAAACACAATATAAAAATGATATGTAAATCGTTCTCAACGAATCGTGCCACACGAAAAGGAAAAGTTAACAGTCTTGTCTTAATCACAAACTTTTGTCGATTAATCGAAGGTAACCTATCATGATCCCAAAGTATAGAAAAGGATCCAAATGATAAATCCCTAAAGATTTGAAATAATGAAGGTTAACAACTTCGATAACCAACATCTATGATTCTAAAGACTTCATTGACCAATAATCAAAATGAAAATGAAATGGAAATAAAAAAAATCAACATGAAATTGATGATAATGACAAAATAATATCAAGAAAAAAAAATATTAGAAAAATAATTTTAAAAAAGAGAATAAAATAATAATAAAATAAAGAAAATGAATTGATAAACCAAAGAGGGGAGCAAGAGAAGATCTAGGTGGTGAAAAGAACCAAATAAGCTTCAAAGTATGGGATCACACGGGCTTAAGAAAAGCCCATCACCCAAAAACAATGTTACTTCAAAAAAGACATATCACTTTCAGGTTCACCTTGATTCACTTTGATTCACTTTCAGGTTTGTGTGTATTGTTTCGGTTCCGATCTCTCTTCTTCTTTTCAACTTGTCTCTGATTTGATTGGGTTTTGTATGTTGAAAATTTAAAGGGTTGTTAAAGTTTTGTAACGAAGGTGAAGGTTGAGAGAGAAAAAGATTTATGTGAGTTGTTGTATGAAGAATGATTTGTTGTTGTTGTGCGGTTTATGGATTGGGTTCAAGAATAAGAAGGGTAGTGAAAATTGGACGAGGATGGGGGGTTTTTGCGGAGTTTTCAGCAGCGTTTTGTTGGCGAATGAAGAAAGGGTGAGGTTCGTTTTATAGAATGTATTGAGTGAGAATGAGAGGCGACGTGGTTATTGTGCATTGTGTGGATTGTTGTGTGGGTCATGCTACGTAATTGTTGGTGCGTTTTATAGAAAGTTGTGAAGAATAGTGGTATTGTACGCTGCCATAAGGTTTGTTGTGGAATTATGGTGGAGACGTGTTTTGTCGCGTAACAGTTTGTGTGTAATTTGGCTTGCTGGTACATATTGGAAGGACGATGCGTTGGGTAGCCCTTGTGTATGACCGGGCATTTGCGTTGCAATTATGGATGAAGCTTGTTGCATGGTACTGACGGTTTCTACGCAATGGCTTTTGTGAAGCTATGTATCTTGTCTTGTTTATGGCTTATAGCGTTTCTCATGTCGTTGGCTCAAGTAGAAGCTGTGCATTTTGACTTAATAAGAGTGCCTTATTGTATTTTTATTTTGTAATTTTTGACAACATGGGTTTGGTCCTTTGATAAACATTAATGGGCCTCTATAGTTTCTTGCAATTGGTTTTCGACAAAAATGTGTAATGGGCTTTTTTGGTGAAAATTAAAAATGTCACGAGCTTTATTTATTTTTGCACCTCACAAGTTTCACTTGAAATGATCATCGTCCACTAGAAATCCTAAGTTACACTTGAAATGATCATCGTTATCATTCCATTTACTACCACCATTATGCTAATCTCCGCTCCAATCATTCTCATTGTATTTCATATTTTATTAGTTCATTTACATCTCTTTCCATCTCTTTCTTTTTAAATGAATTAGAATTTTTTTTAATTTTATGATGAATTTAATTTCAAAATTGTGTAATTTGTATTTGATGATGAATTATTCTCATTTTAAATATGTAGTATGTATTAGTTGTATTTGAGGGTAAATTATCGATATTTTAAATATATTATATGAATTTATTAAGTTTTGAATATGTTGTATTAACTTATTTAATATGAGGTTGTTTGAAAAATAGAAAATATAAATAATTTATTTTAAAAAATGATAAAATAAAATAAAATTGTTACCCTATTAGTGCATTGTTAAAAAAAAAAGTAATACTTCAAATGAATCAAACAAACTAAACTATTTAATTTTGCTCAGTTTTATTTTTAAAAAATAATAAAAGTGGAACCAAACTAAACCTATATTATTTTTTAAAATCGATCTAAAGTGAATCTTTATAGTCCTAATAATAAGGTTGGGTTAGTGGCATAGATGAGGGTAGTGTGATATTTGATTGTAACTTGGAACATTGTGATATCTTGTTAGAATTATGATTAACATATAATATAATAATTGCAAAACTTATGGGTTTGTCCAAAAATATCTAGTAATAAGATGTGCAGGATCTTAATTGAAACAAAAAAAGTGTTGTATTGTAATGTATGGTGGGTTGATACAGGCCAAGACTATTCATTATCTGAGGAAGCAGATCTCAAGCCTCCAGCAGCAGGCATTTATGGCATCATCAAGCAGCTTTGAGTTTCTCAGTCTCAAGACTTACACACCTCCTTCATGGGCATCCCACCTCGACCCTATACCTTCTCATTTCTTCTCTCTTGCACATGTAACTATTTTTTTTCTCCTTCTTGTTTTTTTCTTTTCTAATTATCAAAATCCCTAACACACTGTGTTTGTTGTCAGCTTCCCACTCCAATTCACAGATGGAACCTTCCCAATCTCCCACCCAATACGGAAGTGTGGCTGAAGCGCGACGACCTTTCCGGTATGCAATTGAGTGGAAACAAAGTCAGGAAACTGGAGTTCTTGATGGCCGATGCTGTTGCCCAACATGCTGATTCTGTTATTACCATTGGAGGCATTCAAAGCAACCACTGTCGTGCCACTGCCGTTGCCGCTAAGTATTTGAATCTCGACCCTTTTCTCATTCTCCGCACTTCTAAGCTCCTTGTTGACCAAGATCCCACCCTCACTGGCAATCTACTTGTTGAGCGTTTGATTGGAGCTCAACTTCATCTTATATCCAAACAAGAATACTCACTAATTGGAAGTGTAGTCAGTATCTCCCATTTCTCACTCACTCACTCACTCACTGCTTTGCTTTCTCTTAGACTCACTCACTGCTTTCCTTTCTCTTAGACTCACTCACTCACTGCTTTGCTTTCTCTTAGACTCACTCACTGCTTTCCTTTCTCTTAGACTCTTGCAAACCTCCTCAAACAAAAGTTGATCAATCAAGGCAGGAACCCATATGTTATTCCAGTTGGCGGTTCAAACTCTCTCGGAACATGGTAAGTAACTCCTTTCTTAATAGTTAATCAACTGCAACTTTATTCATGTCTTTTCTTCTGTTCAGGGGTTACATAGAGGCTATTAGGGAAATTGAGCAGCAGATTCAAAGTGGAACAAGCAATGTCAAGTTTGATGATATTGCTGTGGCTTGTGGCAGGTTGTGGCCTACTTTATTTTTTTATATTTTCCTTAGCAACCCTCCTTTTCAGCTTCTTTCAATTCTCTTTATATAACAACTTTCACGCATCTTATAGTATGTATGCATGATGTATTCTAGAGCAAATAATGACTTCTCTTTGAAAGTGTGGGTTTAATATAAATAAACAAGATCTGCCCAAGAAAAATTGTATGTTTGTGCTTTCATGTCATAATTTACAACCAAATTTACTAGTGAACGCGAGCCTAAGCTGTACTAGGATGAAAGAACATTGTCTATTCATCTAAGAACAACCTACATTTGTCAATTTTCAGTGGGGGCACAATTGCTGGTTTAGCACTGGGTTCATCATTGAGTACCTTGAAAGCAAGGGTATGCCTTCTTCTTAGAAGACTCGCATAGTCCAATTTTTTACATGCTGCTTAAATCATTTAGGTGCTTCCTGCAGGTGCATGCATTCTCCGTTTGTGATGACCCAGATTACTTCCACAACTTTGTCCAAGACTTGCTTGATGGGCTCAAAGCCGGGGTTAACTCTAGAGATATTGTCCACATACAAAATGTGAGTGTATTGTTAATATGGTTCTTTTTGTGGAAATACATACATAGTGGTTCTTATCGAGAAAATCAATGATCACACTCCAGCAGACATAATATGCTTGCATGACAAGTCATGGCATGAAGGTTCTTATAACACATGTCTGGTCTGAAAAACTTACTTCATCATCTGGCTTAGCTATACTTTTTTTTTATGATGTAAATTTAATTGTTTACAGGCCAAGGGTATTGGCTATGCAATGAACACTTCTGAGGAACTTAAATTTGTAAAAGAAATCGCTGAAGCTACAGGGGTTGTTCTTGACCCGGTATACAGGTATTTATTTAACCCATGTTGTATATTGTTGTAGTGCTCTTTTGGATCCATTAAAACTACTGTGTCTTCTCTATTATTCCACAAACAGAAGGCCATTCATTGTGCATCACACGAATATCTTGTTCACAAACTTTAGTTTCCTCCATCTTATTATAGTAGGATTAGCCCTTTACTTATCAATTACGAATACCTATAGGCCATGTTTTGATTGAATATTGTTTATTACTTGTCAGTGGTAAGGCTGCTTATGCAATGGTGAAAGATATAAATGAAAATCCAAAGAAATGGGAAGGGAGGAAGATCCTGTTCATACATACGGGCGGGCTCTTAGGATTGTATGACAAGGTTGATCAGCTGGGTTCTTTTGTAGGGAATTGGCAACGAATGGATGTCAATGAATCTGTTCCTAGGAAGGATGGAACTGGAAAGATGTTCTAGATGTTCTTCAATTGCTTGCATCTATTTTTCTAGTATCTTATTTTATTTCAGTGCTCACACACTGAATCCTCAAGTTCACATATGTCAATATAAATAAGTGACTCCTGTGGTATTTGTTACTGACGCATATATATAATATATTGATTTTGTAAAACCATACATGAAGTCATAAGTGTGGGGATAAAAGGAGGGATGACCCTATCACTATGTTTGGATGTGTAAAGAGTTACTAGAGAAGAGAGATAAAGTGAAATAGAGTAGAAATTGTATGTTGTTTGGATGAATAAAATTACATAAGAAAATATCAAAATTAATTTTTCACATTTTTTATAAAGTACAAAATTAAATTTAATAAATTACAAGTTTATCCTTGCATATTTTACAAGTTAATATTTGACTAAATTATTAGTAGTTTTTTTAACACGTGTTTGATTTATTCAATGGTGCTTAAGATTTCATAATCAAGAAAATTCAATTTCCCAATAAATTAAATCAAACATCAAAGGGTTACGTTTCATTTCAACCAATCATGTATGTTTAGTTTTACAACATATTTCAATCAAAGAGGTGCTCTGTAGTGCATGAGGAGGATAAGTAGGAGTCTTTGCCTAACATAATAGATTTTTCTAGTTTTTGTATGTAACTTAAGAATGGCTTAAACTTGATTTAAGATAAAGAAATATATTATCCGTCAATTCAGCATGAACTCATTTGCAGGCAAGTCATAAAACCAAACAATGCTCCTCCTTGCACTAACAAGATCCAGTTAGTTTGCTCCAAACAAAAGTAGATGCAATCTGAGTCTCAAGTTCCATACATTATCACCAGCTTTGCTTTCAACAAAAATATTACTCAATAGCCTAAAAGAATTATTACACAACATGTACAACACCCAAAATGAAGTTTCAAGATGATATAGGTTCGTAAGGGTAACACAACCAAGGGTGCTTCAGAGCCTCCGATGCAGACGGCCTCTTCTTTGGGTTGATCTCAAGCAAATGACCAACAAACTCAATGAACCCTTCGTCTCCCATAGGTAATCTATGCCTCAACGATGTCTTTTTCGGAATCAAGTATTCTAACCTATTGCTTTCCTGTACATTGTTATAAATAAACCGCTTACTCAGCAAACACCAATTTCAATATAAATTGGTTAAGATGCCAAACATGTACGACTCTTACCTGGTTCCGTTCATAAAGCATATGATTTTTGGTGAAGTACTTGTATGTATCACATCCTTTTGCAAGCATACTTTGATCAATTGGATCAATTATCCCGATCACACGAGCAAGTAATGTGGCCGGTGAATCGTTTTGGAAGAGAACCTACAACATTGAGGAAACAGAAAGTCACATATATTAACAAAGAAAATAAACACTCCACATGACAAAACAATTTCTGCAACCGCTTTCAGCCAAAAACTAATATTAACAATCCCACAACTGAGGGGTCCGGTAACCAGGTCGTGCACATAAGTTTAATTGTGATTTTAACAACAGTAGTATTGAAATGCAGTAATTATCTATTATTCTTACATTGCCAGTACAAAGCTCTGCCAAGATGCAGCCAAGTGACCAGATATCAATCTTCTTGTCATACGGAAGTCCCAAAATAACTTCAGGAGCACGATAGGACCTTGACTGAACATATGAGGAAAGGTGATCTGTCTCAAAACAACTACTTCCAAGATCAATGACCTTGATCTCACATCTGCTATAACTTTTAACCAATATATTCTCTGGCTTCAAGTCACAATGTATCAATCCAAGGCTATGCAAAAATTGAAGTGCTTCCAAACACTGAATGGTAATTGACTGCACAGGTGAATTCATAAGAGTTTTAGAAATAACAACAGATAAGATGAACATTAGATAATTTCATGTAAATGACACACCACAAACCTGCAATCTCGGCATTGTAAAGTAAACTTCACCCCCTGATTCTCTATTAAATTTATGAAACTCATACAAGTTTGCTTTAAGTAGTTCACATACTATTAACAAATGTTCCTGCAATAGAACAAGAAAAATAATGGAGCACTAAAATCAGCTAACCAGAATTGTGTTGAACAGTTGATAAAAGGGGAAATATAAATAATGAATAATTTGATCTGTTTAAAATAATAATTGATTGATTAGGAAACAAATGTGACATACACATCATTAGCAATTTAGCAGGATTAATAGCATATTCACTTACTCGATAATAGAAATAATCATATAACCGAAGAAGGTGATACTTGTCTGCTGGATCGTGCTTATTGACATACTTGAGAAGCTTGATCTCATCAAGACTTTGATCAAAAAAGTCCTTGTTATTCTTTATAATTTTAACACAAACATCCATGCCAGTATACAGGTCATGAGCCTGTATAGCTTTGCTAAAAGCAGCAGATCCCAGATGCTCTGTGACATGATACCTTCCAGCTATTATAGAATTTAAAGCAACATGGAAATTCTTGTCCTCCTCAAAGCCAGTTCTGAGACACAAATCATTGTTTCTGAAAGACCGTAAATGCTAAAACTATGGAAGACATAAAACAATAAACAAATCATACTTACTTTGTAACCTAACAAGAAATCATCACAAACTTGTTAAGATCATTTCGCATGGAGCAAAAATAAAAGGCATAAAATTATAATGGACACGCGCGCGCGCACACACACAATGAAGACGTGCCTGTTTTTCCTGTGTACAATCTTCAAATCGAAGGTTTCAAATTCCTCCTCCTGGGCATTTATTTGCTTTACTTGCTCCTGCACAGCAGCTGCCTCTTCATCCTCTAGAGTCCCTAGACCATCTTCCCTTGCAACTCCAACCTTTACATCCTCTTCTAGCTTGACACGATCTCTTTCAGAATATCCATAATTTGAGACTGATGTTGGAGAAGAGTTTGTTGGTCTTATCGCATTGGCATTATTTTCACCCCTGGAACTTTTAACGGGTAAAGAAACACTGCTCTTCTGCCTCCAAAAAGGAAGAGTGTCATCAGATTCCAAAAATGCATTAAGATAATTGTCAGTTTCATCTGCAATGCAGTTATTTGACCCCAGGGACTTGTCGGAGGTAGGCCAAATCATCTGGTCATCCTTGAAAGATGGGGGAAATGCGAATTTCCGTTCATTATGTGTTTTCACCTGCAACTGGGCATCTTTATCACCACCTATGACATATTTATTAGACACGCTCTTGTCATTTCCCTTTTTCTTTTTTATATCCAAATCGTGATTAGAGTGTCTAGAACCACCAATCCCAACATCGTGATCATGAAAATATTCTAAACCCCCTTCACTACTACCACCAACCAAACTTTCACGCACTTCCCTGCCAACATCTACTGCATCACTGTTGACCCCCACCCCAATTGACCTAACTGAACCATGTTGACCATCATCTATATAAATATCCTCTAATTGTGATCTTAAGCTATCATTCAGCATGATGAGCTCATTTGTTTGAGGGACAAAGCCTTTCCAGATAGGTTCTGCACACATCAGGCTTAATTCTTCTTCATCCATCAGTTGTCCATCATATTGAGCCATTAAATAATTACCATTAGTTCTTCCATACATTTCAGTAATTCTTAGACCAATAGGATCATCAGAAGCTGCGACTGGTTCAACATTACTGGTCTGAAGATATTGCTCCTCAACAAAAGATTGATCATCGTCCTCGTCTTTTGCTGGACATCTTTCCCGGGGATCCAGAAGACTTCCATGACCAGTCCCCTTTTCTGTGTCACTAGGGTAATCAATTTCATGTGCCAAAAACCAGGTCTCGTCCTCAATAGGCTGTCTCATGTAGCCAACATCATCGTCGTCGTTATATTCATCAGAGTCCCAATACTCGTTAGGATGGTCAAGAAATTGATTCAACCCAACAGCAACTGTTGCAAAACCTGATATAAGATGGGACGTATCCTCTGATAACCAAGTGGCTGCTGCAGCCCTGTTCATACCTGAATCACGTATTAAAAAAGAATTACTTGAATACCATCCCGTGTTGCATGCATTCACTAAAGAAGCTGAAGAGTGAGTTTAGATGAAGAAGAATTTATTGAGAAAAAGCAAACCTGAAGAGTGAGTTTAGATGAAGAAGAATTTATTGAGAAAAAGCAAACCTGAAGAGTGAGTTTGTAGTTGAATAGGAAGATCTGGCTGGGAATAAACAAGAGGCAAAGGAAGCCTAGGAAATTTGTCAGTATTATGATTATTGAGGTCAGTTCGTAATGCTGCTTCAACAGTAGTGAATTGATTTTTCCTGAGAAAGTCGAAAATGTCTTGCGCCATTGTGGAGCTGGAACACATAAATAATAACAAGAACATGAATGGAGCTGGAACACACAACCAAAAATGGGGAAGATCTAAGCGGCATTTAGGAAATACCTTTGAATGACAAGTTGAGTTCAGCTCTCTCTCAGCTCTTTTCTGCTGCCAATATTCTCTCCTTTTCTTTTAAATCTTTCTGGTCCCCTACTTTTTGCTTTTAATCTATTTTCACTTCATTAAATATTCACGCTTTCTTCTCAATCTCTCATAATACTTTTATTTCAATTTCACCTCCTAACTTCTCTTAACAATTTTAAATTTACATCCATGTTTCAACTTGCTTTTTTTTAGATAACTCACACGCCGCAAGTGCACGATTACGTACGAGACTGTCGAATCTTAGAGACCAAATCTTAGAGAGCAAGTGTTTGAACTTTGAATACTTATTTTTATCCTATCGATATAAAGCAATTGATATTAAATGGAACAACTCTTGTTTTTTTAGAGCATCTTCTGCGACTTATTAAGTCACGTCAGCTTGAAGCAACTTAAATAATTTTTTATTTCAATGGTGCAACTCTAAAAACTTATATTGGATCCCACAACTTTATTTTATATATTAATATTTTATTTATATTAAATTTTATATCACTTAAAATAATAATTTTAATTTTTTACTATATAAACTTTAAAAAAATTAGATTAAACTTAAAAAAATATTTCAATCTCTCCTTAGTTAATTTTAGTGTTTTAAATTAAATTTGATATAAAATTAAAAAAAATTAAATTAAACTTATAATTTAAAATGATAATTAAAATTAATCTCAAATACATGATATATAATTAAAAACAATAAAAATAAATAACATCACATAATTAATCAAACTTAAATTTCATCATCTTCATGTCCAAAACGTTCCCATTTGGCCAAAACAATTGTAATTTGAAGTAAAAAGATGAAATTTTGAGTTAAATATTTTGTAAAAAAAATGCTAATGAGAAAAAAATTGTTGAAAAAAAATTAAAAGTATAGGAATAAAATGATGAAATTGTGAGAGAGAAATTTCAAATTGAAGAGAAAATAAAAGTGAGAGAAATTTGTGTTGGTAAATTTTTGGAAACCAAAATTATATTTATAATAAAAAATAAAATAAAAAAATAAGTAGTCGTTGAAACGGCTAGTTTTATTATATTTATTATAGTTTAATATATTATTTAATGCAAAGTAGTCGTTAGCAAATGTGTCGTACGGTTGAATCGTAAGCAACGTCCGCCACTTGAAAATAATTTCAGTAATATTTAATGCATATATAATACGCCAGCCTGGCGAACTTGAGTGAAAAACCAACGCTGGAGTTGGTCTTAGATGATGCAGCAATAATGTACTTGGAGAGAGAGAGAGAGAGAGAGAGAGAGAGAGAGAGAGAGAGAGAGAGAGAGAGAGAGAGAGAGAGAGAGAGAGAGAGAGAGAGACGTGATAGAGAGAGAGAGACGTGATAGAAAAATCTAAAGGCTCGAGCAAGAGAGTGGATAACTAAAGTCCAAAAAAAAGAGATAGTCGAAGAGTAGCAGAGGAGCAAAAAGGGGGGATCCCTTTTTTTTATTTATAAATGAATCAATTAAAAATCAATGGTCCAAATCAAAGATGAAATGCAACTTTAAAAGGCTATAAATATTGCCCTATCAATTAGAATGAAGAGTCGATAATACTCAAATACTTTATGAAGGGGGATCATTCACTGACTTGCAGATTTAGGGTAACATGCAGAAGGTGGAAGGTGAAACGTTTTAGTGATAAGAAAGGTATTAAATGCGTCTGTCTCTCGGTACTTTTTCTACTAGCTCCAAACGTTTCCACTTTCTATTCGCATCAGACAACATCATGTGAACCGACCAAAATCACTAAAGGCTTCCCCTGCTCTGTGTCTGACAAAGACCCAAATATCTAAGGTCCAACTCATCTCGAATTCACTCCACTTGACGCAAGATATAAAATCAGTTCACACAGATAGTAAGCTACATTATATGATCTCCATTTTCACTATAATCATTTTGCATCTTGAACTGACTTAGGCGTTGGAGTACTAACCATGCAGGTTCATCCTACACCGCCACACTAGAGATCAAAAGCGGCTCAGGATTTTCCATTACCTACGTCAATTATTTCTAGTTATAGTACAAAACACTCCTTTCCAAAAATAGACAAATTGCTAGACAATTCAGTTAGATGTAGATTTTCGTCAATCATGGACGTGTATTCTAATTACAACTAGATTCCTATGTATGAGTCGGGTAAGGAGAAAACAACCTTCATGACCGAATAAGTCAATTACCAATACAATGTAATACCTTTTGTCCTGAAAATGTAGAAGCACTACAACAAAATATATCTTTCATAACATATTATTGTCTTGGATATTCAATCAAGCGGAGTAATATGTGACATTTAGGCGCCTGCATTTTTTTATATATTTTATTAAAATACTTTTTATTACGGTCCTTAATAACAACTGTGGTGAAAAGTAGGAAGGTGTCACATTTAACCACGGTTAGAAATTCCAACTATGGTGAAAAGTGGCACCTTCTTATTTTTTAAAAGATATATAACGCTCTTAGTTCATTCACTTTTTTCCTAGACGTACTTAGACAAACTTGATCTTTTGCCTCTAAGCTTCTTCCATTTACGAAACATTATTCCTCCACTAAACCAAACTTAAAAATTTCATTTCTTCCATAAACGGAACTAAAAAACATTTCTTTCAGAACTTTATCATCTCTTATCCAAATTGAAAAAGGCACGAAAAGCATGAATTCAACTTAACAACATTAGTTGTTGTTGTTGTGTCAGATAAAATGTTCTTATTTAACGATTCTATTTATTTATTTTGTTGTTGTTGTTATTCTTATTATTGTTGTTTTTGTTTTTGTTTTTGTTGTTGTTACTATTGTTATTGTTGTTGTTGTTGCTATTGTTGTTCTTGTTGTTTTTGTTGTTGTTGTTGTTATTGTTCTTGTTGTTCTAGTTCTTGTTGTTCTTCTTGTTTTTGTTATTGTTATTGTTATTGTTCTTATTATTCTTGTTATTGTTGTTGTTGTTGTTGTTGTTGTTGTTGTGTTCAAAATATTTAATATTATACATTTTGATGAAAGTTATCAATGTAGTCAAGCAAAATAAGTGGCAAAAATAAAAAAACAATACTAGCAGACATTTCACCACGGGTACTTAAAACAATCATGGTTATAGGTAGCATGTTTTCTAGTTTTCTACCACGAACACTAGACTCTGGTTGTAAATAACCCACATATAATCACATCTTACTTAACAACAGTTGTTCAGTCGTTATTATAGGTGTTGCGGTTAGAATATGATATCAAATTATTAATTAATTTGAATCGCATCTTTGGTTCACAACCGCTCTTTGATTTATCCGAAGGAAAAGGTCAAAAGAGGAAAACCTAATTTTGCATCGTAAAGACAATGCGGGGAGAGACCTAGGTAAGGGGTTGGTTAAGCTTAGGGAAGGTACTAGCACCCTAAACTTCTGTAGTACTCTACAGGAACCTTTTGTTTATTGTATGCTTTTTTTATATTTTATTATCTGTTTTAATATATATTGAGCTAAGGGATAGAGTGACCTAATGACCTAAGGGTTAGTCCTAATTTTACTCGGCAAGACGTCGCATCTTGTGCCTACATATCCTGACGGGAATGGAATCAGAGTAATTGTAGTTCCCCTCGAAAAGGAGGTTAGAAACGTCTTGACTGTGGTCAAGGTTTCAAAGGGGAGTAAACGTATCTTAAGGGCACGCTTACGTGGAGTTTTGAAACTCCTATTTCTATGTTGAAATTGTTGATTGAAATTAGGGTTAAATTAAATATTCCACGGCGGGAAACCCTAAAACAGAGTACGGCGACTCTTTGACCTAATGCTAGGGTAAAGGGTATTTTCGTCCACGGCGGGACACCTAGGCGATTAGGGTTTTGAAATGGTCAAACGTTAGGGTTATTGACTCGGCGGTCAAACGGCTAGACCTAATCCTTCGGAAGGGAAATATAACGGAAAAACATGCAAGCAAGGCAAAATATTATACGGCAGAAATTAAAATGCGGAAAGTAAAGAAAGCGTCGCGATGATCACTCGCGTAAATTACAAATCCCCAAAAAGAAATGCGAAATAAAATAAGCCGCGACCCCATGGTCGCGTAAATTACATCCATGGAATAAAATAAATTAAAATAAATAATAATAAAGCTGAAACAAACAAATTAACGAGGCTTAGACGAAAATAATGGCTAAATCGAAACTTTATTTTTTTGAATTTTTAATTAAAGAAAGGAATTAATTTTTGCATTTAAAAGGAGAAATTATTTTAATTTTAATATTTTTTACTTACAAAAAGAATTTGTTTAATTTAATTAAAGAAAATATTTTAAATTTAAGGTTTTGGATTAAGAAAATTTTGTTTTAGATTTTGTTGTAATTAAAGAAAAATTTAATTTTAATGTTTTAAAGAAAATGTTAGTAATTATTTTAAAATTTTGTTTTGATTAAGAAAATTGTTTCTTAAAAGAAAGGTTCTTAATTAAAAAAAGAAATGGTTTTTTAAAAAAAAAGGTTTTAATTTTTGGCTTGAGGTTTTAAAAATAAAAGAAGTATTAGTAATAAAATATAATGTGATTACTAATTACAGTTTTAAAAAAAAGAAATAATAAAATATAATAATATGATAACATAATAAAAAAAAAGAAGAAAAAGAAATAGAAATAAAAGAAGTGGGGATTGCTAGAAGGGTGGTTGGCCCTGTGTTGTTTTTAGGGTTTGGAAAAAAAACCATTTCCCTTTTTTTTAGGGTTTGGAAAACCCTTTCCCTTCTTTTTAGGGTTGGGTTTAAGTGCTGATCAGCTTGCATGTCTTCTTCTTCCTCTTTCTAATTCTTCTGTTCATCTGAAAAAGAAAGAAAAAAAAAACAAAGAAGAAAGAAACAAAACATTGTTAGAGTGACTTACCTTTTTCTCTATGA